CATTACTATAAAGTTTTATCAAAAATGTTCTATGATGTTTGCGTGAGAGTAAAAAACATCCATCCTCACAAAGTTTTGCATTTATAATAATTATTAACAGTGTACCCCTTCCCGGTCCGTCCCTAAGCGCCTGATAGTAGCCTATGTGTTACTCCAGCTTATAGTCTATCTAAGTTTTATCCAAATACGTCCAGCAATTTCAGTGTGAAAAAGTAACAAACACACACTCACCTACATACACTAACTTTTGCATTTACAAATTAATAGTTCGATTAATAGGTCGTATGATGTACCTAATGCGCGAATTCATTTATTTTCTGTCAATTCAACATAAATCAGATATAGTCTTTATAAATAAGTGGGATTATAAATTCAATAGGGTTCGCTACATTATATTTGTCAGATAGTTTTGTTGTCATTACTTTACGCATCGACGCCTGCTACGGAGTCCCATATTGTAAGTAGCAAGCAATACTGTCGATACTATGACTAACGTCACCTACCACAATAATATGGTGATATACGTATAACACAGCTTATGTTACCTACACAGTTCATAAATTAGCCTTAATATATTTCCCAACGATAAAACAAAAGCAATGTTATCAATATTCAGAATTTTACTCAAAACATTGTATATATTGCTAAGAAATTCTCACTCGTTGCATGCTACAATGGAATCCGTCTACTATTTTTTTTCACACACGTGTTATTAAACAGGTAGAAAAATTAAAACACGAACCTGCCCATACCTACATGTCATATTATCTTCATTATATCCCAAACATCTCCTAAACACAAACTTTTCAAACAATATTAATTAATGTGTCTACAACTTTGATCCCCAATAATTTATTATACACAATATATGTAATACGATATCTATAATTACGCTATTCATAAGAAAATTTTAGTATTCCAGATGTACAAAATAGCATTTCGTATAAAGAAGCATACGTTGCAATACGGTGCCGAAGTTGGCAATTATCCAGCCCGGCTCAAAGTGAACAGATTAAGCGGCTAACTCACCGATCGACCCGAGATGTACTGATATTGCCTCCATGTTGTTAAATAATTTTGCTGTTAGCCTTACACGCTGTTACATTTTAACTAGACCACTAGTTTAAGAGCTGACGTGAGCTCGTTGTTTGTACGATGTACGTGCCTGGGTCCTTACTATACAGGTTGAGGTGTACAACGTTGTGTTTGATTATTAGTAATTTTCATTATTATAAAATATGCTTCTACATCTATTTTTTCATGCATATATCAGGATACCTTTTAAATATATTATAAAAAAATGTAACATAATCACGTACAGAAAACTTAAAAAAAAAAGAAGTTTTATCAATTACTAGCTTGCTTCCCCATACAAACTTTCATCGCCATTCTCACCCCCTTAAGGGACGATTTCTGGGATAAAAAAACTTATATTAGTTAAAAAAATCTTTTAATTTTCTTCTATACAAAACTTCCTGACAATAACAAAAACAAAAAAAAAAGAATTATCCAATTTGGTGCGCTTGATCCGAAGTTATGCGCGTACATACATTTCGGTGATTCATTTTTATTTATATAGATTGAATGCATATAAAATACCTACTATTTCAGATAAAATTAAAAAAAATATAGGTAAATGTGTGTACAACACATGAAAATGAGTAAACTTCCAATAGATGTATGTATGGTCGCATATAAAAAGGGGTGTTACTTCGTGGTCGCAAAACAAAAAAAAATAGATATTGAATAAAACTGCAGGAACAAGCTAGATGTATTGTAATTATTCTTAGAAAATGCAAAGATAACTATTTCATTTGAAATAGTGTTGAACTGATAAATCTTAAAAAAAACGAACAGACAGACAAATAACAAATACTAATACGAGTACGTAAATAGTTTAATGGTTTTTCTTTTCGATAATCTAAAATCCATTACCTATAATACAGTTGCAAGCTTTCACTCTACTTCACAGACAGCCTGTATAATCAACCTGTATAACATTTTCTTACATACAAAATAACCTTTCAAGTATTTTTAAAAGCGAATCGAATTGACTCTTTCAGCTTAATGAAGAGCGCGATCAGTCCCGCCGTGAGCCGGCACAGTCCCGGCGGTGCCGCGGGAGGTTTAAAAAGTTGATAATGCGAGTGCGATGTCATTGGGGAGGATGAATGCCCCTCGTTTATTTGATCGAGGGCTAATGATTTATTAACATTGTTACTCTCTCGTTTTTAACGTTAAAAATTTCACAAATATTTATGTTGGTACTTTAAACTTCATATTCGTATTTGGTGAATCTACTTACTTATCTATCCTTTAGGTTGTGGATAATAACTGTGTATGTACAATTTCAGTTTTTCTTTAAAGTCCTAAGTACATGGTCTTCTAAGACAAAAAAGGCATTGACGAATTTCTTGTTACATTGTAAACTAGCGGCTCACCATCGCTTCGCTCGGGTTCGCCTCTAGAAAAACGAAAACTAATCTATCCCACGGGAAACGTACATTTTTTCGGGATAAAAAGTAGTCTATGTGTTATTTCAGACTATAATCTATGTCTGTGCCAAATTTCATCGTCGTCGATCGTCCACCCATTCTGGCGTGATTGAGTGAAACATCCAAACATTCGTCTAAACTTTCACATTTATAATATTAGTAAGATAATTTTAAAAATCAAGAAATAAAACTAATTTCTATATTTAGACACAACAGTTATTTTTCGTCAATCAGATAAAAATATTTTGGCTTTTCTTGTTTAAAACTTTAAAGAGAAATAGTTTAAAACAGTCAAACTTTAAGAAAACTTTGGAGTATGAGAAAGTTCGCTAATTAATATCTTAACAACAAGTCAGACAGACGTCCGAACAAAATATTTAAACATGATTAATTAGCTTTGTTGAATATTAATTATGTACTTAGTCGGATGAAGAGTTTTGTAATAAATATTTTGTATTTTAACTCCTACTAAGACTCTCTCTAACTATATAAGGTTTACTGTAATTTCTTGACAGTAAAACCAATATAACTTGGACTCGAACCCAGAACCCACTATCACTAGAACATTGAAGCAATTATATGTATATCTTTTTAGTATACTTTATCAATTATGATCAAACGAAGTGAAATAATTAAATAAACCAAAAAAATACATGAAAATAAAAATACACAAAATATAAAGTTCATAATAAATATATAAATTCATCTTTCCCATTGTGATATCGCGTGGCCTCGGGTCTCGAATAATTTGTTCTTTTAAATACGAACTTGGTACTCAAAGTTGTTAAAACGCTATATATTTTGTATAAACTTGGTAGAACCTCAACAAATATGTTTGAGACTTGATCGAATTTTGTACATAATTGAGTAGCTTAAGTTTTTCTTTGTCTGACGACACGCAACTTTTAATTTTATTGTTTTTTATAAGTGAATTCTTTAGACAAAATAAGTAACATATACTTCCTTTCAAAACTACTTAAATAATTGTCAGCACTATAATCTGACCGTCCAGTCACATTCAATACAACAATGCGATGCGCAACAATATTGAAGCAAATCTGATCATTCACTGAATATAGCCAGATATAGCCGCCACGTTCGAACGCGGCTTCACTTTTGGCATAATATTCGGAATTTTACACCATATTTTTTTTTTCAATTCAATAAGTGTAGAATTTTATTTTAAAGGGGTTGTAATAGTTTCAAGTTTTGCTACATCCAAAACGACAGTGGATTACTGTGTGAATATTTCACTTTATTATTTTCAATTAAATACACAAATTAAGTTTTTTTTTTGTGTGTATTAAAGCCAATATCAAGTGTATTTAAAAATTAACTTAAAAACATTTTATTTAAAAGTATAGGACTCGTATACAACGCGTTCGAAGCATCAGATTTTCTTCTCATCAGATTAATTTGCTGATTACAAATTATTGTATTGTCAACCAAATGTCATGTATACAAATAATAAAATTCGGAGTCGAATCTGTAAATTCTATATTTTTAGAAAAATCTTTAAAATTATTATTGATACAGAGACCGAATCTATAGTTTTTAGAATTTTTGTCTGTGTGTCTGTCTGAGAACGCATCAGGAGATGAAAAATTGGTATGATGATAGCTGGTTATCCGGGTTAACATATAGGATACTTATTACAAATTAAATCAAAAATCATTGTCCATTAAAATAATAAATGAAATATTCGGTGCGACTATATACATATATAGGAAGTGGGTCAGACATGATTAATAAAAGATAGGTAGGTATAACAATATAGATCTTATATTTTCAACAGATTAATTACATAGATTCAATCTTATCAACTATAAATTGTACTGAGACTATTTGTAGTTGAGAATAATAATTAATTTAATTACAAATTAATTATCCAGAGTCAAGGATAAGCTAGCTAGTACAACAAGTGCACCGAGTCACGCCAGAGCCAAGACTGCCTTAGCGGTGGTCGCTCCGACTCTTTTATACACGTAGTGTTGCGTAGTGGGGGAGAATTAAATGACGCGCTCGGTGGCGTGAGCGGTGCACCCGTTGTTTACAAAATTCTAGAGGGTACGTGCGACGGCGCAGGCGCCGTCACGGCCATACTGACGTGCGTGCGTCCTCGCACGTTCCTTAACACAATCTTAGGTATCTGTAGACAAAAATAACATCGTTCGATTATCCTGACAAAACAGTGTCTGGCCCGGTCGATATTGACCCTTCAGATTGGTGGCAATCAGTTTTGGACCGGCACTAAGCCCTACAAAACTTTACTTATCTTTTGCTAGTCCGGAATTATTATTCCCTGTAGCCTGCTAGTCCGGAATCATTATTCCCTGTAGCCTGCTAGTCCGGAATTATTATTCCCTGTAGCCTTTGTCATATTGTGCTAGTCCGGAATCAATATTCCCTGTAGCTTTTACGCTAGACCGGAATGATTATTCCCTGTAGCTATATCATTGGACCGGCACACAGCCCTGCAATGAGCCAAGTTTTTTTTTTTTTTTAATTGTCATTAGTTCTATGAACATCAGCTTGTATTACTATATTTAATGGATCAGAGTGTACAGACATGGTATCAGAGTTGTCCGACAGAGTATCAGAATGTGCAGTCAGGGTATGTTCTGTACTGATAGTACCTGAACTATTCTCGGATATGTTATTAATTTCAATATTATTAGGTTGATCATCGATTTCGATGTTATCTGATTGGTTATCGATTTCATGAACAGTGTTATCTGATTGATTCGCCGTCACGTCATCGTCACTACAATATTCGGCCATTTCTAGATATTCAGATGGTCCCCGTGGCACTTCTCGTAAATTTTCGTGGGAATATTTGTAAATTCTATTTGAACCGTCAATATGTTTTAGTTCGTAACGATCATTATCCAGTACAGCAGTTATTTTAAAAGGGCCTTTAAATTTCCTATCTAATTTGGTTTGGTGCCGTTCTTCAGATTTTACGAACACAAAATCGCCTATCGAAAAAGGTCTTACCCTAGCTTTGCCTCTATTAAATCTGAGAGAGTCCGCTTGAGAGGATCTAATAATATTGCTGGAAGCACTTAATCTAATATCATCTATATTTAGTCTGGTTATTTCGTCGTCATGGGGATTAGTAGCTATTTTTGAGAGTCCTAAGGAATTTCCTTGTATACCAAATATCAGTTCAATAGGGGTAAATTTTGTGACTCTTGAACGAGTACTATTGAGGGCCAATTGAATTTCTCCTAACTGATCCTGCCATAGACTATCGGAATCACATTCGATTATAGTTAGAAGATTCTTTAAGGTACGCATTATTCTTTCGACCTGACCGTTAGCTCTACTGGTTCCTGTGGCGATTAGATGTAATTGGATGTTGTTATCTTTGCAAAATTCTTTAAAGTAAGAGTTATCGTATGAACGTCCTCGATCAGCAACTATTCGTTTTGGGGCACCAAACAAGTTAACGATATTTTTAACTATTTAATAGCATGAGATGAATTTAAAGAAGTAGTATGTTCTAAAATTACGAATTTTGTAAAGGCATCTATTGCCACAGAACAATATTCTTTTTTTTCGCTCTTTCCACTTAACTTTCCTGTCAGATCCAAATGGACAGTGTGCCAAGGGACAGCTGGTTTTGGAATTGAATGTAATCGGACTTGTTGGGCACCAGAGGGACCCTTAGATGCCTTGCATATAACACAGGAATCTACATATTTTTTTACAAATTTTGCCATGTTGGGGAACCAGTATAGATCATACAGCTTATCGAGAGTTTTTTCATAACCGAGATGTTTTATTTCATTATGAACATGGCCGATAAGGGTCCATGTCAGGGATCTGGGAATAATCGGCAGCCATTTCGAAAGCTTACTACGTTCAATTTTTCGGTAGAGTATGCCTTGCCTAATATCGTATGTGCGTGATATCTCGATTGGGTAATAATTTGTTTTTAATTTCGAAATGATATCCGTAATTTCGGAATCCCGTTGTTGTTCTACTAATAGCCATCCCTTTTCCAATTCTGAGAAGTTAACTAATTTAGGTACTTGTTTGAGTTTTGAAGTTTTATTATCTAGTGCAAAGTTACGAGATAGAAAATCGGCATGAGCCATATTTTTCCCTTCTTTATAAACTATATCAAAGTCATAAGATTGAAGAATGGCCCACCATCTGTGAACTCTTGGTGTTAGGTCTTTTTTTAAATGGGAAGCTTTTAAAGAATTGCAGTCAGTAAAAACTGTAAATCTACGTCCATAAAGATAATGTCTGAAATATTCTACAGCCCTAACAACTGCTAGAGTCTCGAGCTCATATGAATGATAACGACTTTCTGCATCATTTGTTCGATGACTGAAATAAGCCACTACATGAGGTAAATTTTGTACCTTTTGTATTAGGACTGCTCCATAACCTTCACTACTCGCATCCGTATGGAGCTCTATTGGTAAAGTAGGATCAAAGATCTTTAGAACTGGTTCAGTTGTTAAGTGATTAATGACAACATTAAGGACTTCATCGTGTTCGGGTTTCCATATAATTTTGCCTTTTCCTGTGGCAGTTAAAGGGTACAAAGGCTTTAGTAATTTCGAAAAGTTTGGAATGAATTGACGGAAATAAGATGCGAGACCGATTAATTGTCTTACTTGTGTTACGGTGCTGGGCGTTGGCAATGATTTTAAAGCCTCTATTTTACGCGGGTTTGGTTTAATTTGTCCAGATGATATTACATATCCCAGATAATTAATTTTTGTTTTCATAAACGAACACTTTTTGAAGTTAAAAGAAAACCCTGCTTTTGAAAGAGTTTCTAACAACCTATCAAGTCTGGCTAATCCTTCCTCAACAGTTTCTGATGCAGAAAGTACGTCATCCATATAAACAAGGATTTTATCGTCGTTAAGTTCTTTAATGGAATTATTTATCGCTCTTTGAAAGACTTGTGGAGCATTTCGAAGCCCAAATGGCATTGTCAAGTACTCAAACTGACCGGTGGGGGTAACGAACGCGGTTTTTTCTATAGAGTCCTCGTGGACCTTAATTTGGTGAAACCCAGAGGCCATATCTATAGTGGAGAAAAAGTGAGCTCTATGTAACTTATTTATTTGGTCACTAATTAGTGGAAGGGGATAGCTATCAGGTCGCGTGTTCCTATTTAGTTCCCTATAATCGACGCACAAACGATCACTACCATCTTTCTTCTTTACGAGCAGAATGGGACTTGCGAAAGGTGAAGAGCTTTCTCGAATGATCTTAGCGTCCACTAGTTCTTTGATTTTTTCATTGACAATATCTAATTCAGCAGGAGATAATCTGTAGGGACGTCTATGGACTATCTTATTGGGGTCAATCAAATCTATTTTTAAGACACCAGTATTAGCTTGTGTAGTCGGCAATTTGTTAATGAAGTGGCCAGAATACTTATTTAAAATATTTATCAGAGTTTCTTTGTCAGGATTGGTTAAGTCGGTATCAATGGACTGTGAGCTAAGGTCATGTTTGGAACAAAGGTTACTAAGCTTGGTTTTAAAAAAGGTCAGTTTGTCACAGTTAATCTCGACAGAAATTCCCTTTTGTAATATATCACGACCTAATAAAACCTCTTCACATAAGCACTCGTCTGGTAATACGTGTAAAGTGATATCCAAGAGAAAATTCTGAACGCAAACTGAACATTTTACTTGCAAAGAAGAAAAAATATTATTTCCGCCTAGGCCCTTTAAAACTACTTGTTCATGAAATCTTTTACCGTACAATAAATTACTTTTACTTTGTTTTATAAGACTACATTCTGATCCTGAGTCAAAAATAAATGACAGTTTTATACCACTCGTTTCCAAGGTGCCGCGAGCAGATTTGCAGCACAGGTTGACTTGCTTGCTGCTTGAAGTGTCCTCTTCTTTCTTCGAATACCGCTTGGGGCAGGCACTTGCTATGTGGCTGGTGTCTCGGCAGATGTAGCAGAGGGTCTTCGTCTTCGCAGAATCTGATTTAATGAAAGTATTTTTAATAGTGAAGCGATTTTTATCTCGACATTCGCTGCCCCGATGTCCCATTCTTCCACATAAGTGGCAAGAACCTCTGAAGGTTGTAGAAAAACGACATTTCTTTTGTTCTACTTCAGAGGTAGAAGAATCGTCATTACCTCTCTTGAGAGTAAAGCTCCTTAATGTTCGGAATAGTTGATGTTTATTGGTAATAACTACTGAGTTCAATTCACGACGTATTTTATCATCGCATTGAGACAATATCGAGATTGCAAAACCCGTTGTAACCTTTTCGGGTAAATTAGCGTCAGGGATTTTTTCTATTAGTTGCCATAGGCGCATTCCTGCTTCGGCTGGATTTTCCTTATTACCAAGGCGAAATTTAATAACCTGATCAAAATAGTCTTGCATCATCATTGGTTTGGAGAAGTTAGAGATCAAAAGTTCCTTAATACTACGCCAGGAAATTTTGTCTGGCTGTATTTTTGTGAGGCACGTAGCGGCACGGCCCTTGAGGGAGTGAGAAAGTGCAATGATCAGGTCAATACCTTCCAAGTTTTTTTTTTCAATAATCATTTCGCTTAAGGTACACCAGTTAGTTACGTCAGAATCTGTTTCGTCTGGGTCAAAAGACACCAACTTTATGGAAGTAGATGGATTAACGGAACGTGGATTTATACTATCCGCTATTTTTTGAAGAATAGCTTCCATACCAGAAGAAAAAAGAGAAATTTGCTGTTCTGCGAAGTTATTTGGATTAGGCTGATTATGAAGTGGGAGTGAATCCGATCCCACTTCTGATATAGGAAGTGGGTCAGACATGATTAATAAAAGATAGGTAGGTATAACAATATAGATCTTATATTTTCAACAGATTAATTACATAGATTCAATCTTATCAACTATAAATTGTACTGAGACTATTTGTAGTTGAGAATAATAATTAATTTAATTACAAATTAATTATCCAGAGTCAAGGATAAGCTAGCTAGTACAACAAGTGCACCGAGTCACGCCAGAGCCAAGACTGCCTTAGCGGTGGTCGCTCCGACTCTTTTATACACGTAGTGTTGCGTAGTGGGGGAGAATTAAATGACGCGCTCGGTGGCGTGAGCGGTGCACCCGTTGTTTACAAAATTCTAGAGGGTACGTGCGACGGCGCAGGCGCCGTCACATACATATGTACATACAACTTTAAGTGGACGCAAGCTTTAAGACTCGGTCTGCAAACTCCATTTCCTCATAAACCAATACAGAGTCGAGCCTCATTCAGTTGCGAGAGACGCTCGTACACTGTGGAGTGAGGGGCCCTGTTGTTACATCGCATGCGATCATTATGTAAGATCTAATACCATTTTTGTATAACATATTTGTACATATAATCTATACATGTAATAAAATTGTAACTAAGCCGAATCTGTACATCAAATATTTTTTGGAAAATCTAATTGAAATAGACATTATTATCGATACAGAGGCCGAATCTATAGTTCTTAGAATTTTTGTCTGTCTGTCTGTCTGTTACCGCATCACAGAAAAACCCCTGAAGGGATTTTGATAAAATTTGTTATGATGATAGCTGGTTATCCGGGTCAACATATAGAATACTTTCTATCTTGGGAAAATGTCTCATTTTTGAGAAAAAATACAAAAACTGCAATATATATATAACTCGGTTAATTTTGACCAGAGGAAAAAAGTCATCAAACCTTTTTGATGTAAAATTTGAAGCTCTACATATTTTTATAAAAACTTTTTTGTCTAAATTTTACCGTTTTCGAGTAATTGCGAAAAAATGCTTTTGACAATTTTTTTTGAAGCCTTGCCGGGGGTTGCCGGCACTAATACCTTTACACATACAGAAACTTTGTATCATTAAAACTACATTATATCAAAAATTCAAAGTTGTGTGCCAACATTTTGATTTAAGGCCTTATTTGACTGGACTATATAGTAGTTTGATGGTACAGTTTAGACAACAGACAGAGACAACATCATCTAGAATTATTAAACCAAATTTTCTATGAAAAATAAAAATATTAGTCTATATTATGCCTATTAGCTTCATTTAAACAATATAATATCTTATATAAAACATGAATGAAGAAGTTTTACCTTTGTTTCCAATGAAATGAACAGTCACGCGATATGCCCGAGCTCGCGGCAGTCCTGCCGGTGGTACACAAAGGTATATCCGCAACGTGATGTGTGCGCTCCCTTTACTCCAGAAGGTGACCATCGCACTGGAAAATAACGGATTTTATTAAATATTAGGTTTAGACCATGATATATTTAACTTTTATTAAGTACATAATAAATTATTTATTAATATTTTAAAACAAGATATTTTGTTATAAATAGTTTGAGCGGTATAAATAGCTTTACTATTCTGCTTTAGAACAAGAGGAATGTAAGCGATAAATCAAAATAAGTGCAATTTTCCATTTATTTCCTAAAAGAATAGCTTTAAATCGAGACCCAGTTGGAATGATTTGCGAATAGGAAGTTCCGCATGAGGCGGCACACCTGGCCCCTCTATTGCTATCTCGCCCGCGGCTTGATCGAGTTTCATCGGCGCTCAGGAAGTGGCCGGAACGGAAAATGAACGTACTCTCCTTCAATACCCATGGGAACGCAGATATGGGTTTTAAAGCCATAACAATAAGTGTCAAAGTAGAGAGAAATGTAGAGTTGATGCGGTGTATGCGGAAAGTTGTTCATAGCGCATTGTAGTGGATTGAATTTAAAAGCTATAGTGTCATGCGGCTCACCTCCCTCTTTTGTTTCACTTTGAGTTTTGCACTTGTGATATATCGCTGTGCATTCTACGATAGAGTGCGTTTTTAAAGCTTCTATAAAGTATTTCAAGAAATTTAAATGACATTTTTATAAGAAAAATATAAGGAGTGGTTTTTATGATATTTTATGAATAATTTATACTTCATAAGAATCAAGAGTTGATATGCTTTAAGCTCCAAAACTTATTCATTTTTTCCACCGTCCTTGAAATTCTTAATTTAACTTATTTGATCCAAACGTATCGCATGTTTCTAAGAACCTGACATTTTAATCTATGAAATATGAACATATTGACGCTATGATGAAATTTTTTTCTAAAGAAAGCTTATAAGAGAAATATTGAAAGAAAAATTAAAGAATTAGAACGCGAGAGTCATCGAGGGAGGCAGTTCTGACCTAATTATTATAAACCCGATAGAAAAAGTAGATTAGTAAGTCTCGTGTCCGATATCAGTATTATAGAAAACTATGTCTTTCCTTTGGCGTTTCCCGCGAGTTAATTCTACAATCTTAAAAATATGTTTATGTCAAATTGTTTCGAATCAAATGGTCGTGTTTAAAAGATAGGCTGTAAAATGGAAAAGATTTTTTCGAATCCGACTCGTGCTTCCAGACATTATTGACTTAAGGGCGCACCAAGGTAATTACGTTATAATTGCGTTCGTTTGATCCCTTGCTGTATTGTTATTATTAAAACTTTAATTATGTAATTAATATGTAGGATATTTAAGGATTTATTCTATAAATCGTACAGTTTAGAAACACGATCTCTAAAAACAAAATAAACCCTTAGTGTGGCGTAAATTATAATTCAAGGAAGTTCATTAGATTTTTAATAATAACAAAACTATACGTTGTCTATATCGTATACATTTTACATTTTTAAAATGTGTATTTGTTTTAATAATACAAAAAAAATACCTAAATTCACACGCTATATATAAGTATATACCTAATATATTTATTTTGTTGACCCATAATTCTCCATCTTAACCTTATAAAATTATAAGGTCAAATTTCCATTAAATGAATCTCGTTTTATACCTGTAAAAAATTGTAAGTAAAATTTGTTTTTCATAATATCTTACATGATAAGTTAATTCATTATGAAAATTATAATTACACAGATAATTATAACTGTATTTATTTTTTTATTTTGAGTTTTCTTTCAAAAATTATTTAAAAGTAAGTTTAGTATTATTTATATCTCATTTTAAACTGCCTCGTTTTCTATTAACAATAAAACCTCTATAGAAATGTCATGATGGAAAATGATGCCGTACAGAAAGAGACTAACGAATGTTGCCACTTTCTAGGTCAACTGGAAGAGCTCTGCACATTTCGAGATACCAGAGAAGTCAATTTTATAACATTTCTATGTTAAATGACATTAAAATATAAAAGTTCATAGAATACTCATAATAATATGAAAAATGCTAAATTTTCAATTACCTTCTATATATTATATATTAATTTGAGTTTCATTTTGATGAGTTCAGAAGTGAGACATTTTTTCATTATTGTATGTATATTGTGTCGGCTCCATGCTAATTTTAACTTTAAACCAAATTAAAATTTACACATTTACATCAAATTTTCTTTTGAAAAAATTGTGAAATATTTTATTGAAACTAACTTATGAGGAATGTGCCCTCAACAATCCCACAAAAAGCAATATTTTAGGTTTACAAATACTTTGTATGAATGTCAGCAGTCCACTAGTAACCTCAATCTTTAGTCACTCAAATTGAAATGTTAAATAAAAATTTATTTGCAATAATATTACAAAAATACTTTCTTCACTACAATGTTTAAGCATATTATTAAAAAATCCATTCATAGCGTATATTGTGTTCGTAGAGTAGATAATCTTATTTTTGACCTAGTTAATATTATTGCCGAAAAAATTGCGCCCATTATTTTTAACTTTGGGATTGCCATTGTTAAATAAATATGTGTTTTAGTGTTACAATTAGCGGAAGAGCTTTTGAAATAATAATATAAATTTTCCATGGTAGTCTTATCACTATTTCACCCTCTAAAAGAATAAACTCTTAAAGGAAATATATTTAAATATATTAAAATATTAATCTATTTCAAACAAGCTATCCCCAAACTAAATTATATTTAAAATTGATACACCCGTTTAGTCGTGAAAACTAAAAGATAAAAGAATTACTTTCACATCTACAATATTATTTATACTAATATTATAAAGAGGTAAAGTTTGTGAGTTTGTGACGTTTTAGGGGATAATCTCTGGATCTACTGAACCGATTTAGATAAGATTTGGTAATAAGATAGTTTGAGACCCGGGGAAGACAAAGAATACTTTTTTATCTTGGAAATCATCCCTTAAGGGAGTGAAAATGGGGATGAAAGTTTGTATGGGGAATCAACCTAGGGGCGAACCCGAGCGAAGCCAGGTTTAGTTGCTCGTTGTCGAATATTATTATTTGTACCTTAAACAAACATAACATTATATTCTCTATATAACGTTTATTTATATAACATCCCACAAAGCATTACCGTACATTCATTTCTAAAGTATAAAAGCTACTAATTTGACATATGAAAAACAAGGCAGGGTTAGGCGCGGCATTGTTGTCCCGCGCCGGGGCTTGAATTACCTATTATATGTATATCGATAAGCGTGCTCATTCATACTTTTCTTTTCATTACGCAATGTAAGGAAACAAAACATTATACATATGAAAGTTTATAAAACGCGCTAATGTTTTCCCTCGCAGGTTAAAACAATAGGCAATGATTAATAAAGCCACTAAAGGCGGTCCCGCGGCGTGAATAAGAGGGCTGAATGGACTCACTGACTCACCTTACTGTTGTCGCGCTTTATTTAATAATAAATATGTTGGGACATTAACACACAGCACAATCGAGTTCCATTGTAAGCTCTGAGGCTTGTGTTATACCAGATAGTTGACACACTACAAACACATATATATATATATATATATATATATATATATATATATATTCCAATTATGGTCACGCGAAAGACTGAGGTGTTACATGTCTTGAAGGTATAGTTGTTACAGACAGCCTACCCACAATTAATAAAATGAAAATTGCACCAATTACATTACAATATTTTTTAACTTTAAACATTTTTATAATGATTTTTATAATATGATTACCACTTGCCTTACTATGAAGGCAAATATCGTGAAGAAACCTGTATTTCTGAGAGAACCTAACAAGTTTTCGAAAGATAAGTCTGACAACCCGCACTTGGCCAGCGTGGTGGACTACGGCCTGATATGGCGTGGAGGACCGTGCCCAACAGTAGGACGTAAAAAAGGGCTGAATATATTCTTAACTGGAAAAGCTATTAAGCATTAAGCCAGCGTGGTTCATATTTAATTATTATAAGATTTAAAATATAAAACAAGTACATAATCTCAATTCGTTCGTTATTTTTACAAGCAATTTTTGTTAAAGTTAGAGTTTCAATATTAATTAATGTAGTGTCTAGACAAATGAAAACATAAATTAAAACTAACATTTCTGCGGCTACTAATAGATAGTAGGTATAAAACGTTCCAGATGATAAATATTTATTTTAAAACCACTGAAACAACGCTTAAATTAATATCTGATTGCAAAAAAGTTATACGAAAAATTATTATTTTTCCAATTATTTTCATACAAATAGTATATATTTTTATTATACCATTATATTTTTATCATTTTACTCTTCAAATACCACAATATTTACAAAAAATATTACCAACCATTTCTCGAAATTAAAAATACAAAAATCAATTGCTTCGAATAAACATACTTACTTGTATATACATTACTCAATTATGATTGGTGCAAACAAAATATTATTCTGAGAGTCCTTTTCCATTTGAATGAAAATTCAATAAGGAAAGGCACGACAGTCGCATCAAAAGCTTTAAGTGCGTCTCTCCAATTAGCTTTTCCATCACTTAATATATTTTATGAACCCAAGATGTTATATTTACTATCGCCCTACATACCTACAAAGCTTTTTTATTGTTATTCCCCTATAATGGCGTTAATAGGCGTAAAATATTTTGCTAATACCAGGTATTATAAAAACGCCTTAAGCGAGATTGTACTCAAATGAAATTTAAAATTTAATATAATGAAAATTATATGCATGAACAGTCGGTCCATAAGAATATCTACCCAGATACAACAATAGAGAACGAAAAATGATACAATAGATTAAGTATACAACAACAAACAACAACATGAAGTGAACGCTATATTTTTTTTAGATTTAATTATAATTATTAACAAATGAGTCAAAGACGAGGTTTAATCAACATTTTATGTTTACTGGACGGTGAATGTGAGGAGGGATTATATAATGAGAGCTTTTGGAAATGAAACAGTGAATGATCGGGCGAACCTTTACCTAAACCACATTCACAAATAGAGATCTTTAATTTTTAGCTTCTCTAAAGTTCAAAGTTCACGTAACAAACAATATTACAAATGAAAATTCTAAAACCGACTAAATTGTTTATCTTTAGAAAACAATTTACATATTATATATTAATTAAATTATCAAAGTACTATAGTTTTTACTATTCATAAAATATATTCAACGAGACAGTCAATTGAAACAACCCGAAATGGCGGAGTTTTTGCGATCGGATTTACACTCCAATACTGCGCCCACATTGTCGTGCGATAGACAATATATAATACGATAAAACCGCACTTCTGTTTGTACAAGCTTATTTTTCTAATACTCTAACCAAATCAAATTATACCTTTTTCTATAGTTATTTTTAAATATAATGCATTATGTATATCCTGGTTTAGTTAAAGCAAATTAGACCTGAGCTTAAAGCTTATG